CACTTTCTGTTCTACTCTCTTCTGGCTGGAATCAACCTTTCTGGATGATAGAAGGGCCAAAAGAGCAACATAAACAGCAGATTGGTGTATCTGTCATAATTCCACATTAAAAGAATGAGTTTCTGGCATTTCTAAGTCCAAGATTTTTTCCAGACAGTATGCCAATGAGTAGTACAGGCCAGACAGTATAGGTATATGACTATATGATTTAGTACCTATTTGTCTATGACTGAAGTTGGTGTTGGGAACAAGAGATATGCTCCATACCTAGAAGTGTATTCCAACATGCAAGCCCAAGTTGACCTCTTTCAAATTTGTCTTAAAGTTTAATGGAGAACTCAAATTTTTTTCATCAGCTTTTGTCAGTACACATCCTTCCCAGAATCTTCCCAGGAGCCAGCTAGACCTCTAGTGGTTTCTTTCTTTATTTTTTTTTAATTGTGGTGAAATGTGCATTATAAAATTTGTCATTTTAACCATTCAAGAATTTTCAAACTTGTTTTTTCTTCACTGTAGTTGACTCTTAATTAAATGTATCTCAGCTAAGATCTGTTTAAATGTGTTTCTTAAAATAGTTCTGGAGAAAGTGGGTAAGAATCTTCTTAAAGTGTACTATATCTATCAAAGGACAGTCTACTAAATTGCAGGGCATCTGAGGTTAGTAAGATAACTGTGAAGATGATCTATAAACTTTAAAAGTAAGGAGGAGCTAAGCAGTTGTGGAATTGCCTTCTTTTTGTTTTCAGGTAGACTAATTGTTCTTCAGATGGTAGTTACTTCAAGTTAAGACATGGAACATAATTCCCTTTTTCACAAAAGGTTTTTCACAAAAGAGAATGTGAATAAGGAAATCTGAAGAACAAACTTTTTCTTAAAAAGTTGTAAATAGGCACTAATATATACTTCTTGAGAAAAATGTAGCTACTGTAGTAACAAAGGTTTTAACAGCTAGCTGATTCAAAGCATCAGAAAACTTTACACCCTGGATCTCTCTATATATTACCCAGCAGATTCTATCCAAAGAATTTTCTTAGAATTGATGTACATATTCTGATGAGGCCTAAACCTATTATTTTATGGTTAAAATAAATAAGGATTAAATATAGTGCCACTCCTTACTTTAACCAGAAAATAGCTTTAGGCCTAAGCAGAATATGAACTTTAAGTGTTTGGGTAAAAGACCTCTGGGGACTGATGAAGATAGATAATCTATAATAATATTGGTGTAATATATGTTATTTTTTAAAAAGATGTATTTATTTTAGAGTACATAAGCAGGGGGAGAGGGAAAGGGAGAGGGAGAAAATCTCAAGCAGACCCCCTGCTGAACACAGATCTTGACATGGGGCTTGATCTCACCATCACCAGATCATGACCTGAGCCAAAATCAAGAGTTGGCCATTTAACTGACTGAACCAGGCATATTAGGTAACGGAGAGTCTTACCATAATAAATAGCTTAGACTTTATCATATGGCGTTTTAGTCAGGGGAATGATAGGTAGATCACTCTTACAGCTTTGTGGAGGTGAGATTTGAGGTAGTTGTGGCAGTGGGGTGAGGGATAGACTAAAGATGAGGATATTAATTAGGTAGTGGGATTCCAGGTGGAGATGATTAAAACCTGAATTATAGGGATCCTGGGTGGCTCACTCGGTTGAGCTGCTGCCTTTGGCTTGGGTCATGATCCTGGGTTCCTGGGATTGAGTCCCGCATCAGGCTCCTTACTCAGTGGGGAGCCTGCTTCTCTATCTGCCTCTGCCTGCCACTCAGCCTGCTTATGCTCGCTCGTGCTCTCTCTTTCTCTCTCTCTCTCTCTGACAAATAAATAAATAAATATTAAAAAAACCCACCTGAATTATAGTGGGGCTAGACTCTAGAAGTATTTAGGAGCAATAATCAATAAAACTTGATGATTAGTTTTAATAGTTGTGAGTGGGTTATAGGGAATCAAGAGTGACAAATACCATATAAGAGGAGTAGATTTGGGTCTGGAGGGTAAAACAATGAGTTTGGTTTTGGATATGTTATGTTTCAGATATGTTAAAGTAACCATAGATGAAATCACTCATGCTAAATTCAACATCAGCAAGGCAGAACTTAACTAAGTTTCTACGTGTGGCCCTCCCAGAAAAAGAAGGTGCATGTCAACTAGTTAGTGCTTGTCTACTTAGCACAAATTACCTAACCCTGCTCGAAAACTTCCCTTTGCTCCATATAAGAAAACTAATCCAATTAGCAAATGCCCAGTATAACTTCCTTGTTCCTGCTCACTTAGTGCTGTAAATATCTCTTGCCTTGGGGCACCGGGGTGGCTCAGTCAGTTCTACTCAGTTTCAGCTCAGGCTGTGATCTCATGGGTCCTGGCATTGAGACCCAAGTCAGGCTCCACACTCACAGGAGAGTCTGTTTGAACATTCCCTCCCTCTGCCTCTCTTTCTACTCATATTCTTTCTCTCTGAAATAAGTTAATTTAAAAAAAAAAATCTCTTCCCTTTACAGTTTTTTGGATTTCCTTTCCTTTTTGTTTTTTTAAAAAATATTTATTTATTTATTCATTTATTTATTTATTCAGAGAAAGGGAGAGAGGCAGAGGGAGAAGCAGGCTCCCTGTGGAGCAAGGGGTCAATGAGGGTCAATCTCAGGACCCTGAGATCAGGACCTGAGTGGAAGGCAGACGCTTAACCGACTGAGCACCCAGGTGCTCCTGGACTTCCTTAATAACTACCAGACTGGATGCTGCCTGATCCATGAATCATTTGAATAAAAGCTTCCAATGTTAGTAAATTGTCTGTGGAAAATTTTCGTTTAACAGATATTATCTAGTCAACGAGATATTTATTTGTTCATTTGTATTTAACGGTATTTACAGAATTCCATACCTGCTGCTAATAAGATGGTGAGCAAAAGGGACACAAATACTGCCTTTAAGAACCTTAAGGCGTAGTGGGAGAAACACTTAACCAGAAGGTGTAATAAAAAGTGACATTTATTGTGGTAGAAGCACAGGATGCTATGGTACTTCACAGAGGGGACAATTAACAGTATGGCAATACCTCCGCAGGAACAGGATATATCAGTCTGAAACTCGGGGTTTTAGCAATTATGTCTCTCTGCTACTGATTCCTGAGAGTTGATAAAAACGTCAAGGGATAATATTATAGAACTGTTAAAGAAGAGAAGGCTAAAGGCAAGTAAAAAGCCATAGAAGGAGACAGAAATGAAATAGCAAGGTAAAAGAACTGAGTGTAATGGAAGCTGAATGTTTCAAGATGAAGAGCACAGTCCGCAGTGTTAGTATAGAAAGTGCTGATGAGCTAAATAGTAATAATTGGTTTGGCAGTTTGGAGGTCATTGGTGACTAAGTGGAAGCAGTTTCAGGTAAGTGATATTTAGTTAGAAGAGAAAATGTTAGTATCTTTAAGGGCTAAGATTTTTTGCATAAAGCTAACGAGCTGCAAGACAAAACACAAAGCAATGAGATAAACTTCTTTTATCTTAATTTTAATTTGGAAATAACTGTTACATATTTTTAAAAAAAGTTTTATTTGTATTCACTGAAAAAGCCTAAAAGCTATAAAATCCTAGAGGAAATAAAAATGGAGAAATAGTAGGTTCTACATTTAAAGCAGGGAATGTATGAAGTCTGGGACATCTTGCATCATAAAAGTAAAGCAGCTGCCAAAGACTAATTGATCCATAGCAAAAGGACAAAGGAGCCAAGATGAAGGGAGACAATTGGCACATCAAAACTGGTAATGACTACAGGGGATTCAAACATATCAAGCACCTAAAAATCCATGCGTTTTTAGATTTTAATCTCTCTCTTTCTCTCTTTTATCGGGTATGTGGAGGTTGTTGGGCCGTCAACTCATTACTCTAAACCTGGGGTCAGAAAAACTATGGCCTGTGGCCCAGGGCTCCAATCTAGTCCACTCACTATTGTAAGGCTGTGAGCCGAGAAGAGTTTCATAATGAATCAGTTACCATGGTAATCCACTGTAAACTTATGTAAACTGTAAATTATGAGGTCTTCTCTGTCTTACACCTAACCTTTTTGAAATTGGTATAATAGTCTTCAAAATGAACTTAGATATGTTCATGGCAGAATATGGAGAGGGACTCCACATGCATTACTTATAAAAATTATACATAAAAATAATAAATAAAAATGAATTGGATACCCTTGTCATTATTATAAACCTTTTATTTTTAAACTTTTAATTTTGGCAAAATCTTGGCATTTGCAACTATGTGGATGGAGCTAAAGTGTATTATGCTAAGTGAAATAAGTCAGAGAAAGACAAATACCATATGATCTCACTCATATGTGAAATTTAAGGCAGAAAACAGATGAACATAAGGGAAGGGGGAAAAGAGAAAAAGGATAGAGGGAAACAAGCCATAAGAAACTCTTAATGATAGAGAACAATCTGAGGGTTGATGGAGGGAGGTGGTGCTGGGCGGGGATGGGCTAGAAGGGTGATGGGGGATTAAAGAAGGCACTTGTGAAGAGCACTGAGTGTTCTATGTAAGTGATAAATCACTGAATTCTACTCCAGAAACCAGTATTGCACTGTATGTTAACTAAATAAAATTTAAATAAAAAATAAACTTAATTTTGGATAGTTTCAAACATGATAGAGAAAATGGTATATGTAAACTGCTATTTTACCCATCACCCACCTTCATCAATTATCAACTCATGGTAACTTTAATTCATGTATATCCCTCCTCCTTTCTCCTCACTGGATTATTATGTAGCAAATTCCACATCTAATTTCATTTGCACATACTCCATTTTGTACTGTTTTATTTTACAGAAATAACTTTTAATATATAACCTTGAAATACTGAAAACCTGAATAGTTATTTAGAAAAATGTTTTCCAGTTAATGTATACCAGTAGGCATCTTTTTCTGAGTTCAAAATAATCATGTATACTATGCTTTTCTTTTGGAATTAATTGTCTAATGATAAACGTTAAGAGGAAGTGTTTTACCTGTTCTATGCAGTCTTCTTTCTTTTCTCCTTTAAAAATAAAATATCACAACATTAATTATCTTAAATCTAATAAGGGCCTGTAATGAAAATTGTTAACAGAACCTTTTACTATAGCCCTAGTAGAAAGAGAAATATTTTAAAATAATCCTAATTTAAACCAGATTGAAATACTGAAAACTCAAGAGATAGCAACAGCCAAAACACAAAAAGTATAAAAGTATTCCAGTAATTGTCTTACATACATTTAGGGCTAATATCTTAACTGAAGTCAAATGAGTAGACTATGTCTATGTTTTTCCTTCTGTTCTTAAAATGATACCTTAAAACCTGCATGGCAAGTAAGTTTCATCTAAGTGTCAATTCTAGTTGATAAGTGGTGGTTACCTAGAGAATTGTGTTGAGAACGTTTATAAGGTCTTTTTTTTTTTTTCCCCCTCTCAGTGGGAAAGAATACGGTATTTGTGGGTTATTTGCTCTCGTAACAACAATATACCTGCTGGCCCTGGTTTAGAATAACAAATGATGCTTTTAAAAGAGAAATCTTTGCTTAAATTTATATGCCATTAGGCTGAGAGAGAAGCTATATGATAGTGCTACAATTTAATTTCTTTCTATTGATACATATTAGATAGACATTAATTTACATATTCTCATCCTTGAAACAAGTAATTGTGCATAATTGGTGGGTATTTATAAGTACCAGTTATGTGTTTCTCTTATAGCTCTTAGTGCATGCATGCATCTACCACTCATTTGGCAGTATGCTTATGTTAACTTATTATTTACTTTATTTATTTAGTCTACCTTCCCAGTAAATTATGTTTTCTAAAGCTTATCAGCAGCATTTTACTGTATTCCTCCCTATAGTCTTAGCACCAAGAAATGCTTTGATGACAGTTGTATTTCTATAAAAATACACATTACTGTCTGTCATTAACTCAGAATTACTTGCTGTTTTGGGATATTTTTGTATAGACCGGGATGTTTTGTTTAGTTATATAGTTCAGAAATTGTGTAACACTTCTAATATGATATTTCCATATGCTGTGAAATCTGGATTGTAATGCTTTCATAGGACATCTGAAATTTTTTTTAAGTTTTTTTTTTTTTTTTTATTCATTTGACAGTGAGTGAGAGATCACAAGTAGGCAGGCAGAAAGAGAGGGGGAAGCAGGCAGAGAGCCCTATGTGGGGCTCCATCCCAGGACCCTGAGTTCATGACCTGAGCCGAAGGCAGAGGCCCAATCCTGAGCCACCCAGGCGGCCCTGAATTTTTTTTAGAACAGTAGATGGCTCTTGCCTTTAAGTAGATAAAAATATAAATCCTACAGTAAGATCGTTACTCTCTTGAAGATCTTTAGGAATGTAAAAGTTAAGTCTCTCTCACAAAGTTGTTCAACATTCTCTCTTCCCAGTAGTCAATAAATTATTCTTATGACTAACCAAAACTAAAGACAAAAAAACAAACAAAAAAAACCCTACCCTGCTTTAATTTTTTATTTTTAAAAAATCTTCCTTGGACTTTAAAAACAGCCCAGGATACTTTCTGCAGTTTTAAATAGAAATTGTTATGTCTGTAATCTTGACATTTTTTGAGCTAAAAAACTTTATAAAACTTTTAAAAATAGACACCAAGTTTCACAGTATTAGTCATTATCAATCTTCCTTGAATCCATGCCAATTTTTTTACGTAAAGGAAAATTAACTTCCATGGCAGAAGGGTTAAGGTCTAAGATTTAGATTCTAGGACATCCAAAGAGATTGGTGTAATGAAGTGATTGCTTCTGACTCTGGTATGTTAGTCTTTTAAATATATACCACTGCTGTTTATTTTTCTCATAAAACCAGTGGTTACTGCTTCATTTAGTTTCTTGTCAACTGTAACAGTCCCCATCTCTTAACTCTATTTGTCTTAGTCACAATAAGGGGCCCCATTAGGTAAAGGGCCAGACAATAAATATTTTAGGCTTTGCAGGCCAAGAGGCAAAACTGAAGATATTATGTAAGTACTTATAGATCAAGAGAGAAAAGTTCCATAAGTTTTTATTAATAAAATATAAATTATAATTGAGGATTCTGTGTGATACACATCTAATGGGAATGTGGAGATAGCATTTAATTTGAGGTTCAATTTAATTGAGGTTAGTGTTTTCTGTTACCAAACTCAACTGCAAATGTTCTGTTAATGTTGATCTCTGTTGATATTTTGTGTATTTCACCTTTGAAAATGTCCTTTCAAACAGGTAGGTACTACCAGAAACTGACAGTTTCAGGTACTACCAGAAACTGACACAAATAAGCAGCATCTTATTTTACAGAATTCTGTTAGATTCTTCTCTTGATATTTGCCTTTTAGCATGTCATTACATTGCAGATTAATCATTTCCAATTGCTGTTTCTGGGAAGCGCCTCAATTGCATAGTTGATGGATTTTGAAATAGGGATATATACTTGGCATTTGTATTTAGGTCTGAAAAATGCTGCTGGAATTAGGGAGGCCAGTTCTGATATTCCAGGACTGAGTGGTTTCTGAGGATTTGGGACTCGAAGTGCTAAAACTGGGACAGTTGTTTATCCTTACTAGAATTTAGTTTGAGATCAGAAAATATATCTATTTCAGATTTATATGGAAATACAGATCTCAGTTCTTTCATTAATTCTTGACAACCCAACTTGACATTACTTTGTAATTCAAACATTAATAGCTTTACTTCATTTAGTAAAAATTTCATGTATAGTAACTGTTTTGCCTTGTAATTTTAGTTTTAATTCATCAAGGAACATGATCAAATTTGAAACAAGAGCTGATTTCAAAAGGCTATTCAATTTGATAATAGTAGTCAGTGGTGGTTCTCATTCAGAAAAATTTCAGTCTCAGCATAGAGCTAAAAAGAAAAAAAAAAGTCACTGCTTTTACCACAGCTTAAGTTTTTGAACTTCTGGATAGAAGGGCAAGTCAGGATATTCATCTTCTATTTTTGACAAAAATTCACAAAACTGAAAGTTGTGAAACTCACAGGAGTGAATGAAGTTCACCTTTGACATTTTTGGTTCAGTAACATATGACATATTTACATATTTTCTGCAAGGTAACGGTTGAGTAATATATTTAAACATTTAAAATTTTAAAATTAATTTTATTTTAAATAATAGATTTAAACACCTTAACTTTTTTTAAAAACACCTTTTTACAAGTTTATAAATTATCTTTTTCCCCTTCCATATATATTATCATAATCCGTTATAGCACATCTTAGCAGATTCCATGTTAGGTTGTACTGGAGTTTTCTCAACTTTGAAAATATTCTTGCCTGAAGTTGTTTTACACAGACTGTTCATAGAGACTAACTCTTCAGTTACTTCAAACTTTGCACTGACTCCTCAAATTAAAAAAAAAAAAAAAGCAGTTGAATAGTGTACATTTGTTGACCACAGAAGACCACTTGAAATCATCTTCCTTTCTCAACTTTTTGAGCAAATGTACTTGCCCAATGGCCAAAAGTCTTAAGTTTATTTTCTCTGGACACATTTCTTCATCTTCTGCAGTCAAACATGATTTCATTAACTCATCATCAGTGAATGGCTTTCCTTGCTTGACTAACAAATGAGCTACTGAGAAACTTAGTTTGGTCATACCTCATGTTTTTCTGTTAGTGAAGAAATTCTCCTATGAAGAGACACTTCTTTGTAAATTTTCTACTTTTTCTCACTGTTGCTTGCCTGTGGGCAGGGGATACTATGATGAGTCCTTTGGTGTTACTGTATATTGGATTCTTTTGAGCATAGCTATTGTATCATTACATTATAAACACAGTGCTTTACTTTTAACTCAGTAACAAAAAACACATTCTACTGTGCCTCAAAAGTATGACATTTTAAGTCCTATTTTCTTTCCCTATTTTGATAGTATGAGTATGCACTGGTAATAAAAATAAAAAGTTGTGGTATGGCAATGTGTGTGGCACTTGAAACTCTGTGCATTTATAGCCATGGTTATTACAATTGGCAATGTGCTAAATAGCCAGGTAAAGTGCTGCTCAGTTCTGTCATTGTAGCATGAAAACAGCCATAAACAATATGGAAAAGAATGAGCATGGCTGTGCTCCAATAAAACTTTATTTGTAGACGTTGAAATTGAATTTCATATAATTTTCATGTGTCACGAAATTTTGACTTTTTCCAAAGTTCTCTTTACTTTTTCCAAACCATTTAAAATGTAAAAACCATTCTAGTTGTGGGCTCTACAAAAACAAGTGACATAGGGGCTGAACTTTGTGGAACTCTGGTCTAGATAGACTTTTTTCACACTATGGTACTATTATATTTTATAGCCCTTACATTTATTTCTATCAATTTTCCCTTTTTCATGTCATTTTAAAATTTATTTCTACTTAAATAAAAAAGACTAAGTGATAGGTATTCTTTAAATGGAGGATAACTAGTTTTAGCATAGCACCTAAAATACTTAGCAGGATGCCTGGCACATTGTAAATGCTCAATGATTGTTTGCTTTACTATTTTGATATTCTTATTGAGATTGACCTCTGATAGTGGTAGAGAGGTGTTTAAGGTTTTAAAAAAAGGCAGAAAGAAAGAATAGACGCTTTCTACACACACGCATACGCGCCCCCCCCCCCCCACATACCCCCACACACTTTCTAGCTTGTTTTGGAATACAGGACACAATCATGAGCCTTCTAAAATTGGGGTTTGAAGATTATAACTTAACTATGTAGTCTGTGATAGAAATAAACTAAATTGATAGGATGAAAATTGCTTTCCAGAAAAGCCTTGCTGGTTGTATCCTGGTCTCATTAGTTCTATAGGAAAGATGCTAAATTATTGGATAATTTCTTTCAGTATCAGATCAAGAAAATTGTCAGTATTAATCTGACCCCTGATCATGCTTTTTAAAAACAGAAACACTTGTGATCATTAGCCATTATTGTAAATCCTTCACAGTGCATATCCATTAAGTCTGATTTGAACACATCCAACGTTTGTTATTTTATCACAGATTTACTATA